CTTCTTTACCAAAACGGGGTTGGCTACCCAGCTCAGGTAATGGACTTCTCTTATGAAGTCAGCTACGAGGAGCTTCTCGACCTCCTCATCGACCGCTTTCCACCGCTCCGGGGCTAGGTAGTGTTTCTTCTGTCTAACGAGCCTAACTACAGGATCAGTATTCAACTTGTGAGTTATAAGGTCGGGGTCTATATCGGGCATCTCTGCCGCGGACCATGCAAAAATATCTAAATTTTGAAGTAAGAAACTTACCAGTTCAGATCGTAGAGGTTCTTGGACGGAAGCACCGATCTGAAGCGTCCGGGCTGGGTCTGCTGCTGAGGTCGGTACTGCGATTGTTTCTTCCATGGGTGCGGCTCGTTCTTCGCCTTGTTCCGTAGGCCGCTCCAGTTCGAGGTCGTCGGCCACCTTGGTCTTTCCCTTCAGGGCGGCGACATAGCACTTGCATGACTCGAGCTGGTTGCCTCGCGCTACTCCCACACCGAAGTCTGTAGGGAACTTCATAGCCAAATGATAGGTGGAGACCACCGCCCGTAGGACATGGGTGATCGGCCGACCTATTATGGCATTGTATGGGGAGGGGGTCGCGACCACCAGAAAGTTGTGGTTGAATCTGACCACGCAGGGCCATGTGCCGACTTCCACAGTTACTGTTATTTTCCCAAGGGGCCGGACTTCTTCTCCGCTGAAGCCCACCAAAGGAGTGTCCGCGGGCATCAAGTCACTTTTCTACAACTGAAGCTGGTCGAATGCAGCTTTGAAGAGAATATCCGCCAAGCTACTCAAGTCAACGAGTACGCGCCTGACTTCGAAGTCGTTGATCCTCAGCTTTATCACAAGTCCGTCATCATGGGGGTAGTGGACCCCTCGCGCATCATCTTCTGTGAAGAAAATTGGCTCCTCTGTCCTCGGTCGCTTTAGAGGATTCTGTCCTTCCCGGGTGGCTTCACGAACTGACGTCCGAGCTGCTGCTGAAGTACAACCCACGACGATTGAACCTCCCACTATCACGTGGATGGTGCCCCGAACCGGCCTCTCCTCCGGAGGCTGCCTCTGTGACTGTTCTGCCGGCCTACTGCTGGACTTGGGAGCATCCTTACCATGCTCCCCTTACTGACCTGTTTTACTATTATTATTATTATGTACAAAATTTCTTAAATATCCGCGATGGATGAGCTCCTCAATCTCATCGCGGAGGTTTTTACAAATTTCGGTACTATGACCATGATCTCTGTGAAAACTGCAGTACAACTTCTTATTTCTTTCATTGGGATTCCCCCTCAAACGGGGCGGCCACTTCACATGCGGGGTGTCTTTGATTGCCATCAGGATTTCAGCCCGCTTCGCGTTCAGTGGGGTGTAGTCAGTTCGATCCGCTACTGGAGCTCGGAACGACTGACCCGGCTTTGCTCCCCGAGCTGCATCTTTTTTCTTTTGGCTGTCCCCTTGGTTGGGAGGCTCTCCTTCCCTTTTCCTCTTCTCGGGTGCGCCCTCGCCCTTTTGGTTGATCTCTTCCTCTGTGGATATAAACCTGTCCGCGAGCTTAAGAAATTCAGTTATGGACGCCGGTTGATTGACGACCATGTGCCATTTGAACTCTTTATGCGTCACGCCTTTCTTGGCTGCTACGAGGCGCACGGCGGGGTCCAGGTGCGGTATCTGCATGCATGCATCATTGAACCGCTTGATATAACTTCGGATGGACTCACCCTCTCTCTGCACTATGTTGAGGAGACTTTCTTTAGTTCGCGGACACCGCTTGCTGGTGACGAAGTGGGACGTGAAGGCTTGTGTGAACTGCGCCCAACTTCTTATCGATTCAGGTGCCAGGTTCCAGTACCATGTACGGGCTGCTCCTCTAAAAGTGGTGGAGAAGGCCACACACATGCACGACTCACTGGCTCTCGCCAGGTGCATCTGCGACTGAAAAGCGTCCACATGATCATTTGGGTCGAACGACCCGTCGTACTTGTCAAGAGGGTTGAAGTCTTTAGGCATTGGGACTGCCTGGAGCTCAGGAGATAGGGAGACTGGACTAAAAGGAGGGGAGCCTTGGCTTCGCCTGAGCTTACCACTTCTTTGCCTCTGAGCTCGGGCAGGTCGTGGGTGGCAGATCGGCGAGCTCGGCGGCGGCGTCTCTGCTTCTTGGCGGGCTCGGCGTTGGTGCTGCTCACCTACGTGCTATCAGGAATGGTGTGTGTAGGAAGTAGCTCAAGCCACTGGTGATGGCTACGGACAGAGGGGTCCTGCTTGGAGCCTGCGACCAGGATCTCGA